CCCCCCCCCCTGCCTTGCCCGCCAGCCTCCCAGTGTCTGCGGCCCAGTCAAGTCCCTCCGTCCCTCTCCCGTCAGAACAAAGCCCGAGGGCGGGAGACTCGGGTACAGACAAACATTCTCTTTATTGAGCTACACATGAATTTTCCATTAGAGAAGGAGACTGGCAGTGTGTAAGATATCACAGAAACCTCACCGATTGGGAATAGAAAGGCTTAGAAAGACCGTGGGCTTTTTTTTTTTTCATTTTTCCTTTTTTTTTCCAAGTTTTTTTTTTTTCTGTATTTTTAATTTTTTGTGTTTTGTCGTTTTGCCTCTGTATCTGAAATGGCTGCGACTGGTCTTCAGCAGATGTCTTAAAAGTGAAACAGTGAAAAGGTTTGGGTTTGGATACGAGTCAAAGTAGAAATGACGCAGGACTGATCATGAAAACCGGCTCTCATGTAAACACGACATCCCCTTTTTTTTAAAATTTTTGTGTGTTTTTTTTCTTTTCCATCCTGTGGTAGTTTAAAAAATGTTTTTGTTTTTTTCTTTTTATCAGCAGCACAAACATCCCCACGTGAGAAAGAACGGACACAGGTCACTGAAACAGAGGAGAGGCGGGGGGCGCACACGGGAGCATCCATCCGAGAGACCGAGAGGCGCAAAGGCCAGAGGAGCAGACCGCAGCCCCGACCCCCAAAGACTAGGAAAGCTGGTCTGTACGTGGCACACAGGGCTCGTCAGGACAGAAAGAAAAACTGAACAGTGAAAAAAGTTATCAAGGGCATATATCGGAAGGGCTTGGTGGGAAAACTGTTTTCTATGGGGCTCTTTATACATATGATCCGGATTCTTTTTGGCAGCTACAGGCCAGTGAGAGCTGTGCTTTTTCTATACAAACCTGGAGTGAGCATGTAGCTGGAGTGGTGGGGGGTGTGTTGGGGGGTGTGGGTGGCGTGGGGTGTAAAGCACAGCCCGGTCTGAGCACACTCTGGAAACCGGGTATGGACAGACTGACCTGGCACCTCCACAGGGGTGCTGTCCCCCCACCCCACCTGCCACCAGGTGAGATGGGGAGAGTGAGGGGGCAGATGTGTTTCTTTATTCAAAAAAAAAAAAAAAAAAAAA